TCTGTCCTACCTCTGCAGCAGGTTGTTGTTGTTGTTCTGCCATGATGCTGCTCAGCCTGCAGATCGGAGGACATTTCTCAGGTCCTCTCTTCCTCTCAGGTGTCATCTGTGAGCTATCGCGAGATCTCTTCCTGGACGAGACCCGTTTGATTCTGATGTCTCGTTTCTCAGCAGAATTCATCACAACAGCTGGTGCTACATGTCAATAAAACCTCAAATAAACACAAACAACTACACTAGGAACACAGCTGAGGCTCTGCTACACACACCTGTACACATTGAATACTTCAAACCTAAATTAGATAATGTTTAGATCAAGAAAAAAGCACTTTAAAGCCCATTACACGTTAGCTAGTAAAGCGGTTTTTCTTACTCCTGGCAGTTTGTTCTCTGATGTGTTCCTTCCGCGACATTAACAGTCTCCTAAAACCTTTTAAATCACCTCAAACTCCGGTGAAAACGTAAAGAAAGTCTGCCAAAAAAAGCGTTTTCTTGTATTGCTTCTGTTTTTAACGTCAACAGCTCCGCAAGAATCACGTTTGAATTTGTGAAGAACAAATCCAACGTCAGAGCAAGAGAGGAATCCCTGCGTCACTTCCGGCTTCGGTTGTCGGAGCTAGCAGCGCTAACCGGGATAGCTTCCCAAATGTAGTAATTCATCTATAGAAAACGTTCGATGAATTACCCGAAAACCAAGCTGATTACCGCCACATAGCAGACATGTGTTATCTGCTGTATTTTCTGTCACTGTATAGCCTATCTTCCTGAGAAGTACATGTTAGCAATTGGAACATTCATTCAGTTTCCGGTTGAAAAGTCACCCACAAAGGAAAGCCGATATTTAGATATTAGATTAGATATTTCACTCATATAATCATCAGCTTTTTTAAAATCTCCCTTTGTAGTTTGTATTACAAATACAAAAGTGTTTAAAAAGGTGGGTTAAATGTGAGAAAATCCATACGTAATGTTGATTACGATGGTCGTTTTCTGGGGTGATTTCTATCTTGTGCTGTTATTTTTTATCTTTGAAACGGGGGGTAACATTGAATCTGTTTCTAAAATAATACAAAAATAAACGTAATATTAAATATTCATAAGCACACAAAACCATACATTTCATATTATTTTTATACTCAGCAACACAGATATATAATATGCGTAATTTGGCTCTTAACCAACAAGTAATCAGTTAAATAGGTGGTAGGAACTAATAGTTGACTCAGTGAAGAACCCGGAGTTCCCGTCTGGTGGACATCTTCCGGTCGTGTGTCAGGTCAAAATGCTCGTCCTCAGAGGTTTAACGAGAATAAGAACGGTTTTATTACAACAAGGAAACACAGGTGAGACTTTATAACACCTGTATTAAGTGTTATAATGATATAGCATTCATTAAATGTAAAACTAACCGTTAATATGTGTTTATTAGGTGGAGTTAAGCTACGTGTTGCTAATGCTAATGCTAACATATGAGCTGTTGTTGATGTCATTTTATATAATAATAATCCTTTTTCTGCAGGTTTAAGAAGTCTCACAACAACCTCAAATGTAGTCCAACCAAACGAGGACAGGGTGGGTAATTTTTATTTATTTATGAATAATTATTACATCAGTAATAACAGGATTAGATTAATATATTTGTGTATTCTTTTTACAGCTCATTAAGATGGAAAACCCCTACAAAGAGCCTCAGAAAGGATGCCTGCTCTGCAATGTGACTGTAGACTTCAAGAACACTCAGGTAAATAAAGCACCTGAGTGTGTGTGTGTGTGGGTAATAAGTGAGTGTGGGTAATGAGTGTGTGTCAGTGTGTGTTTGTCAGTGTGGGTAATAAGTGCGTGTCAGTGTGGGTAATAAGTGTGTGTGTGTGTGGGTAATAAGTGTGTGTGTGTCAGTGTGGGTAATGTGTGTGTCAGTGTGGGTAATGTGTGTGTCAGTGTGGGTAATGTGTGTGTCAGTGTGGGTAATGAGTGTGAGTGTGGGTAATAAGTGTGTGAGTGTGGGTAATGAGTGTGTGTCAGTGTGGGTAATGAGTGTGTGAGTGGGTAATAAGTGTGTGTGTGAGTGTGGGTAATGAGTGTGTGTCAGTGTGGGTAATGAGTGTGTCAGTGTGTGTAGTGTGTTTAGTTAAAGGTGGGTTTACAGGAGGGTGTATATGTGTCCATGGTCCTGAACTCCTCATATATCTAGTGTCATTATTAAAAATGTCTGAGGTCTTTTCTTACACTTCAAAATGCAGAATTCTAAAGAGAGATGGACGTTTCAAATGCATTTCAAACGGGGAAAATCTGTTTAGCCACTGTGGGAATATCCACGTCTAAAGAGAGAAATATCCACGAGATCCTTCGCCACTTTTTCAACGGTATGGCGGTATATGAACATTCCCATCACACGGTCTAAAGGTCACGGCATTCGGCACTATGTGGTACAAACATCCTAACCCTGTAGCTGTGAGATCAAACTGAACATTAAGGGGGTTTATCTAGTATTTTTGAACAAGTGGAGCTCCAAAGGTCACAGGAAGTGTCTGAGTGTCGCTGTGATAATAATAATAGTAGATTGTATTTGTAAAGCACCTTTCATTGCTAAAAGTAATCCCAAAGTGCTAAACCCTGATCTGTGTGTTTCCTGTCAGCTGCTGTCTCAGTTCATCTCTCCGTACACCGGACGGATCTACGGACGCCACATCACACGTGAGAGACACCTGGATCTGGAATATCTCCTCAGTGAAGATTCAACTCTGATTTAACGCTGCTTTGTGTTTCAGGATTATGTTCCAGGAAACAGAAGGAAGTGGCCAAAGCCGTGAAGAAATCTCACGCTTTGGGTACGTCTTCCTCACGCTGACCTTTTTGAAATAGGGGGTTTAGGCCCTGTTTACATGGAAACGAAAACGAAAACTAACCTTAGTCGATATCAAAAAAGTCTTCCGTCCACACAAGACCGCTGGAGGCGCTGTAGTACATATGCCGGGCCTGTAAGTGGCGCTGTACTTCCGCCACAAAATACACCAAAAGCAGCGAAGAAGACCCCCGAGCATGGTTGCCATGGTTGCCCTTCTGTTTATTCCCCGCGGTGGATTTAGCAACATGGAGTTCATGTAGTTCTCCATGTCCACTTGTTGCTGATGGTTGTGGTCGAGGAGCTGTAGAGTTTGCACTAACATCTGTAGCATGGTCAGTAGCGTCTGGAGCACGAACGCAACCCTGTGATCTGCCATTGTTGTTGTTGTTGTTGGCGAAACACATCAGCAATGACGCGGGTGACGCGGGGGATGAGCAGCAGAGGTGGGGAGAGGCGTATAGGACGTACACACGGAGCCGTTCCGTCCGCCTTGGGACCCATTATCGTTTGAGGGCTCCGTTACCGCGTTTCCGTTACGGCCCTCGTGTGAACGAACCGTCTATACGATAGAGAAAAGTAGCAGATACAACCCGTTCCGTCTCCGTGTAAACGGGACCTTCGACACTAGGAGCTTAAGGAGCCAGAAGAGGAGGGGTCATATTAAAGGAAAAACGTCATTAAAAAGTGGTACATTTCCATCCATTTGGATATTCTGAGATTCATTCACAAATTTAACGGGAATTTCTTTTTTACAGAAAATATATTTTAATGTTCTCAGATTAAAGTAAAGAAAAATAAATCCCTGATATTTTTGGAGAAAATTGACAAAAATAATATTATTCTGAGTCAAAGTATGTACAATTTATAAAAAAAAACTAAAAAAAAACTTGAATATTCTGAGATTTTAGTAAAATATTTAGGAGAAAAAACTCTTTTTGAGATAAAAAAAGTGAGTTTACGAAAAACTACATTATCGTAAGAAAGGGGAAAAAAAGCGATTCAACTTGGAAATGTATGAAAACTCGAAGATGAGATTTCAACAAATTTTAAATAGTTAAAAACCTTAAATATATTGTATGTGTTTGTCTTTTCTCTGCAGGCTTCATGTCGGTCACCCACAAACACCCGGAGTTCATGAAGGACCCGCACGTCTGTGGGAGACACCTGGAGTAATGTGAAATGTGTTTATTAAAGCTGTGTGTTTGTTATCAGTCGCTCATCTGATAGGATTATTACTAATCTAAAATCAATAAATGTTGTTTTTTTTTTTCCCTCTAATTTGAGTTTTCTTTAAATTAAATGCAGTTTAATTTCTTCAGCTTCAACACTTAGTACTCAAACTTTAATATTGCTATTGAATTGATAGTAAAATGGTAAATGGACTGTATTTATAGCCCATTGTTTCACACGTTAGGCTCGCCTGGGCTTCTTTTGTAATTATGCTATTAAAACATGAACCTTGGTGACCGCCTGCATGGTCTGAACTAACCAAGCCTCTGATCAACAGACTTCATGCAATGCTTCATTGGATGCATGATATCAGATCAGGGTCTATGCAGGAAGTCACATGTAAAACCTTTTAAGACCCTTTCCATACATTTTAAGACCTCATCGCCACTTTGAGTTTTAACCGGTTACCTTGGCGACACACTTTACCTCACATTGACTATATTCAGTATTGATTGTCCTTCCTCCTTATCTTCCAACCATTTGGACGCAGACTTGCATTTCCCCGTAACGATGTTGTTTAACAACCGGCGTAAACGGACCTTCGCGCGCTATCAAGCAGTGAGCGTGCGATGTCCTGTTCAGATGACGTCAAACCCAACGGGATGCCATAAATAAACTCCACAGAATCACACTACACACCTCTCCAGCTGGGAGAGGAGGAGGAGCTTCTGCTGCTCGTGGAGGAGCAGGAAGTCCCTGAGGAGCCAATCAGAAAGGAGGAGGTGGCAATTAGAGAGGAGGAGGAATCAGAGAGGAGGAAGAACCAATCAGAGGGGATTTTGACTCTGTAAAATATATAAATAATAGTTTTTATTCTATTTTATCTTTTTATTGCACTTTTTTTCCTTTTTATGCTTTATATAAATATTTGTATTCTATTTACTTTTTATATTCTACCTTGATTTTTATTTTTTTTATTATACATTTGTACTTTTTGCATTTATATAAATTTTTTTTTTTTACATATTACATTTTGTTCATATTTTGTAAGTCACGTCACTCGCCCTGCACCCCTCACTCACTCTCTCTCTTTATAAAGAATACAATCAGAAAAGGTAATAACTAATAAATATTTTAAATATAAATAAATGAATAAAATAACTATAAAAATGTAAATAATAATAATGTATTAAATAATAATAAATATAAATAGATATACACCCACTCACTTCCTGAGGTATCTGCAGATCAGCGCTCCCACATTCTCACAGTTCTTCTTCGTGGGGCAGAAAACCAGACAGGAGTGTTTTGGGATGACTTCGGTCACCATGGCGATGATGTGGTCCGGGTCCAGCTTCTGCATGGAGCTGGAGTACTGGAGTTTCAAAATAAAAGCTTTAACAATATATACTGACGGAGTTTCAAAATAAAAGCATCAACAATATGTACTGACGGAGTTTCAAAATAAAAGCATCAACAATATGTACTGACGGAGTTTCAAAATAAAAGCATAAAAAATGTGTACTGACGGAGTAGTATCAAAATAAAAGCATACAAAATGTGTACTGACGGAGTTTCAAAATAAAAGCATCAACAATATTTACTGACGGAATTTCAAAATAAAAGCATCAAATATATGTACTGACGGAGTTTCAAAATAAAAGCATCAACAATATGTACTGACGTTGTTTCAAAATAAAAGCATCAACAATATATAGTGACGGAGTTTCAAAATAAAAGCATCAACAATATGTACTGACGGAGTTTCAAAATAAAAGCATAACAAATGTGTACTGACGGAGTATCAAAATAAAAGCATACAAAATGTGTACTGACGGAGTTTCAAAATAAAAGCATCAACAATATTTACTGACGGAATTTCAAATAAAAGAATCAAATATATGTACTGACGGAGTTTCAAAATAAAAGCATCAACAATATGTACTGACGTTGTTTCAAAATAAAAGCATCAAC